CTCTCTCTCTCAACCTCTAACGAGAATGAATCTTCCTCTTTGTCGAGGAAGATTCATTCTCACAGGGCACGTCTGATTTCCTTTCTTTTTTTTTCTTTTTCTTTTGCGGAACGTTGTATGTATTTTTTTTGTTTGTTTTTGTTTTTTTTGTTTTCCGTGATGTCCTACCGGTTGTCCGAGGCCGGGAACGACCGGCCTACCGGTAGGCTGAGCCACGGGCCTTAACAACGGGCAGGTACTGGTGGTTTAAAAAGTGATGTCTCCTGCTCTTAAGGGGTCTGATAAAAGTCCTTGGGCTAACAAGTACAATGTCCAGGGTCAAAAGAGGCGGTCTGTGCCCCCGCCCGAGGTAGTTGACTTCAAGAAAAACAGGATTCAGGCTCAGCTCCTGAAAAGTAGGTCAAGAGTCAGAGATTTGTCAGAAGTGAACCACAGCCACAGATCTCATGCACAATCAAATGCTGTCCATTCAAGAAGTTTCAACGGCCTACTGCGTCTGGGCCATCGAGTTCAAGAAATCTCCACTGTTCGAGGAGACAAGCTGAGGCAGGACCCAGTCAACTCTACAAAAGAGTTCCCTGCCCCAGTCGGTTCATTCATTCAGCAGTGTGGTACTGGGGCTGGATGCTACTCCAAACAGTGCTAAGAAGAGAGACAGGAGAGGCTGGCACCAAGGAAGGAAAAGGAAGCGCCAGCCAGGGAAGAAGAGAGAAGTAGCCATAGCTAGGGTGGGTGCCTGAGAGCCGTACTTGTAGGATAGTGGTGGAGCGAGGAAGAGGGCGGTCAGGACGTGTGTGTGTGTGTGTGTGTGTGTGTGTGTGTGTGAGAGAGAGAGAGAGAGAGCGAGAGAGAGAGAGAGAGAGAAGCTTACCTTGTGTTACCTGTTGGCGCTGGTGATACTGAAGCTGCGGTTCACATCGGGAGGCTGCAGGAATGCAGCTGCAAACCTCCATAGTCAAGCTTTGATGATGGAGGTTGGGCGCACATTCCTGGGGCCTGCAGAGAGACTTCGTTAGTGTGTATTCACACAGGGAGGTTGGATGTTGAGGTGGCAAGTGCTGGGAGAAGGTCCCCGAGAAGGAAGGGGAACTGAGGACCCATTTCAATTTTAATATTGATTGTTAATGAAACTATCGTCACTCTCTCTACCGCTTATTGTGGGACATCTGGGACATCGCTGCGTGCTACATGGCTTTTTTTTTTACATGCCTTATTCCGCAATGCA